TTCCCTGAAGGCATTCCCCCTCTCGTCACTGGGCCAGCTCCTACTTTACCCTCAGCAGTCAAAGCAAATGTCTCTGTCTCCAGGAAGCCTTGCCTAACCCTGCCCCACTTCTGCTCCCACCACTCCCGCAGAATACTCATCACTCTTGTTGAACACCTGGCTCCCATGCTGACTGGAGGCCCTGTGAGGATAGGGGCTTATGTCCACCCGCCTGCTACTGACTCACTTGTATGCAGTCTCAATTTGCCTCCTTGCAGCCAATCCCTCCTCTCCATAGCTCCCACGTGAATCACTTCACGTCACTCCGCAGTTCAAGAACCTGCAGTGATTCCCTGGTGCCTACTGAATCAAGTCCAAACTCTTGCTCTTGAGTGTATTTAATTACATCAAAAGGGAATATTTCTGTTTAGTGAGGTGGACAAAGTTAAGAGCAAGATGACCAGATGGGAGAATATTTTTGCAAGGTCTAAAATCAACAAAGGATAGAATCTTCCAGGATATCTTGCAAATCAACATCCAAAGGACATCAACATCAATTGAAATATGACCAAATGATATGAAAAGACAATTTATATAAAAGGAAATCTTTAAAGAATAACCAGCAATGCAGAGCTGCTCAAACTCTTTTTTTTATCATCACCCGAGGACATTTTTCCATTTTTTGTTCAGATAGAGTGGGAGGGAGAGAGAGAGAGAAACATCGACGTGAAAGGGACACATCGAGTGGCTGCCACCCGCACGACCCAACCAGGGCCGGGGACAAAATGCAATTGAGGTACCTGCCCTTAGCGGGAACCGAACCCGGGTTTCTCCGGACCGGAGGCCGACGCTCTAACGCTGAGCCAAACCAGCCAGGGCTGATCAGACTCTTTAGTGATCAGAGAACTGCAAGTAAAACAATAATGAGCTAATACCTCAGTCAGATCAGCAAACATCGGACAGCTGGATAATGTCAATCACAAGCTGGGTAATGTCAATCACAAGGGAGCACAGGAGCCTCCTGCACTCTGGGGGAGCATGAACTGGTGCAGACAGTGTAGAAAAAAACCATGACTGTATCTAGTCAAATTGAGACAGATATATTTATACCCTATGGCCTAGTAAATCCGCTCCTGGCTCCTAGGTATAGAACTCAAAGAAATTCTCGCCAGATGCAAAGAGGATAAGTCCGAGGACGGCACTGCAGCATCATGGGAGGGGAGTTGGGTGCAGTCAGAGGGTCCCTCCCTGGAGGAGTGGAGAGGCCCACGGTGGGGGATGCCCTGCAGAGAACTGTGTAGCTGTCAAAGCAGCTGGTTAAAAGCAAGTGCTGGGTGAGAAGAGGACCAGCAGAGTGAGGCCTACAACACACACAACACAATGCGATAATATATAGACACACACACACACACACACACACACCACAAACCAAATGCAAAGAGACATTTTGAGAAATTTTATTATAACTTAGATATTAGATATTGTTGCTAATTTTGTTGGGTGTGATGGTGGTATTACATTTAGGTTCAGTGTGGGAGGAGGTGCATAGAAAAGAGAGGGATAAAATGTCTGCGTTGGACTTTAAAGTATTTAGTTCAGTGAAAGGAAAAATGAAACAAAGATTTAAGCAAAACTTCAAGGCAAAATCTTGATAGTTATTGAGTCTGGGAGATAAGTATATAGGGGTTTATTGTACTATTCTATTTTGGCATGTATATTAAAACTTTTACCATAAATAAAAATATCAATGATACATATTTTCAAGAACATCATCACACAAAGAGATACACATCAAACATGTCCATGGAGGGGAAAGAAAATAGAAGCAGGAAATGAGGACAAAAGGGAAGGAAGAAACATTTATGCTCAATGATCATTTGCCCTGAACTGAGGAGGATGAACTTAACCCTCTGCACCTAAAGACCAAAAAAAAGAGGAGGAAATTGATATCCTGTAATTATGTCCTATCATTCTACCGCCTTGGCACTCTAACTTTCTCAGCCTAAGCCTCTACCCTTCACTCTTGTGCACACCAACTAGACTGCACGGCTTTCACCATGGCCTATGTGACTTTGTGCCTTGCTTAAGTAATAGGAATGAACTTGTGTTCACCAAGTGCCATCCCTGGGCTAGGGCCTCTAGGTCTGTGATCACAGTATCTCTTTTACAGATGTGGAAAACTGAGCTCAGAAAGGAGGTTCTTTGTTTATTTCCTAATACATGACAAAGTTGGAATTCCAAACCCCTTTGCCTCAAACACCCAGGAGTATATGATTGTACCAAGCTGATCCAACAGCTTATTCATTATCATTCTTTTCTTTTTTTAAATTTTTTTCCTTTGTTGATTTTAGAGAGAAAAGAAGGGAGAAGGAGAGAGAGATCAAAACATCAATGAGAGAGAACATCGGTTGGCCGCCTCCAGCATGGCCCCTACTGGGGATCAGGCTCACAACCTGGGCATGTGTCCTGACCAGGAATCGAACCGGTGACCTCATGGTGCATGAGTCAATGCTCAACCAATGAGCCACACCGGCCGGGCTCATCATTCTTATTTTTAAGGCCTGCCTATGGTCCATTTATGTTGATGTAGGGTAATTTACTAACTGCTCTTTCACTCCTGAGAATTTGGGTTCTTTCTAGTGTTTTGCTTTCATAGCTAGTCCTGCAAAGAATATCTTCAGGTTTAGAGCTTTTTGCTTCTGTTGAACTATCCCCTTACCAGGAGTGGAGTTACTTTGTGTTCACCTAAAAAGGTGGACCTCATTGTGACAGTTAATTCAAGTTGAGGGAGTTTCCATGAAAGGAAATGCAGGGAGTGGGGATACACAGGGCATCTGTGCAGGGGCAGGAAATGCAGGGGGAGTAAGGCCTCAGGCCAGACAGGAAGTCAGATCCTGATTGATTTCTGTGCCCTTCACATTTTTTCTACTGCCTTCCTTGCTCAAGGTGGGGAATGGGGTTCTGTCAAGCTCAGGACAGGGCCAAGGCAGTGGGACATGAAGCTGCTGTGTGTGGGAGGGGGGCGGCTGGGATTGCCTGGGGCTCCAGTAGCTCCCTAGTCCTTTGTGGCTGCCCTGGCCAGTCTGGGAGAGAGCAGCTGGGGATAGGCAGCAAGTAAATATAGATCCAGGGAAGGAAGCCAGGCGGACCAGCCCTGCACTGACCTCTAGCTGGAAGGCTGGGGAAGGTGGGGAAAGAGTATGTTCTGGCATCTTCCTCTCCAGTCTTGGGTGACATCTGACCCAACAGCTCCCTAAAATTGCTGAAAGTGTCTGGGAGCAGGTTGGGGAGGTTGGGGGGACAGAGTCTTCAAGGGGATCAGAGTGGGGGTTAGTGGGAAGCTGGTCAAGAGATGATGTTCTGCCCTGGCCGGCTTGGCTCGTGCTTGCAGCATTGGCCTGCGGACCAGAGGGTCCCAGGTTCAGTTACCACTAGGGGCTCATATCAAAAAATAAAAATAAAAAGAGATGCTGTTCCTCTGTGACTGACAGCCAACTGCATTTCTTCTCTGCTGATCCCTCTCAGAGATGTTGCCCAGGTTGAAGAGTCCAGGCTAAGGGACCGACTGGTTCAAAGGGATGTGGGGTCCTCAGTCCAAGAAGCAGGGGCCAGGCCTCTTTACAGCCCCCTCCCCTCCCCCATGGCTCCTGCTTTTTCTGGAGAAGAAGGATGTCCTGAGTGTAAACTTGCTTCCTTTGCTCTCTGCCCCTCACTCTGTGCTGACCCTCTCCGCCCCTAGAGCTCAGGGGCCACCAGCCTTGCCCCTTCTCCCCAGCTCCCGTGCCACCCCCAGCCTAGTTCTCCGTGCCCCCCAGGGCTTCAGCCCTGCACCCGCTCTGCACCACACATACCGTGTCCACCTGGTCCAACCAAGACCCCTCGGAGAGGAACTCCAGCACAGCAGTCCCTCCACCAGACGCATTTATTGGCAGCGCCTGTTCCCAGGCATGGAGGGGAAGGGGCTAGCAGAGTGGGTGACTTTTTTTCCAGTGTTCAAGGAACAGAGGGAAGGAGGGAGCAAGGATGTCCCAAGCAGAATAACAAAACCAGCAGCTAATATTTATTGAGCTCTTCCTCTGAGGCCTGAGGCCAGGGTTTGTGTTAAGCAGGACTTTACACGCACTGTCTCATTTAATCCTTATAACAACTCTAGAGACTGATGCCATTATCGTGACAATTTTACAGAAGTGAAGAGGTGGGAGGCAGCTGTCCCGTCGGCCTTCAGGGATGTACCCACGGGCCTTCTGTCAGGGGTCCAGAGCCTCCTTTTTTCTATCACACCGTGACTCTCAGTCTCAACCATCTCATCATTTCCAGTTCTTTCAACTCTTTTTATATTTTTGTTAAAAAAAAAATAGATTGTGCCCATATTCTGTAGAATCCACTGTCACCTACCCCAACTGGTCAAATCTGGGTTCTCCCCAAGATTCAGCTTGGGTGGGGTTGGAGGCAGTGGGTCGCTAATGTGGGGGCCTGGGGGTGTGTGAAGCCACAGTACAGTGACAGCTCTGAGAAAATACACAATCAATAAATTACAAAAACCCCCCTCCCCTCCTTTACCCCCCTCCCCCCCTACCAAATCTAGGACAGACTGTGAGTTGCCCATCATTCCCCGCCCCTGGGCAGGGTCTTGTCTCAGTCACCTCTGTATCCACAGGGTCCAGGGGCTCAGTCAGTGTTTGTGGAATGAATGAATGAGTGAATGGGTGAGAGCTTGGGGGAGGGAACAAACACAGGAGGCCTGAGTCCCAGCCCTGATTTTCTCATCGCCCGCACCTTGCGGTCACCAGGGCACCTCCCTCTGCTCCAGAGAAAAGTCCCCAGGTAGGGGTGGGAGCAGAGGAAGGGAAGGGAGGAGTCAGCAGGGACATCTCTAAGCCTGGGAAGGTGGATGACAGAAGGAGAGCACAGACTCTGGCCTCAGAATCAGGAGACCTGGTTCAAATCCCAGCAGTATGGCTCAGGAGCTGTGTGACCTTGGGAAGGCTTGAAGAAGAATGACGACTATAGCATGATAGTCCTTTCAGAGTTGACAAAGCCCTTTGTTCACATTTATCTTTGGTTTTTAGTAACCATCCTGTAATGTGGGTATTATTATTGATATACCCATTTTACAGAAGAGGGAGCAGAGGCTGGAGGGGATAAGTGAGTTGCTCAAGGTCACACAGCAAGCAGGAGCTTGAACCCACCCTCCTACCTCACTCCCTCGCTATTACCCAGGTCTGTGCCATGGGAAGTGGGGCTCAGATCTGTGTCCCAGCAGGTGTCCCCATGCGGCAGTGCAGGAGGGCCTGCACAGTGCATGCCCTAACGTGGGCTCCACTGGCCATTTCTAGCCAGAAGAGCCAGTCTACCCATCGTGGAAGGTTTCCGAGACACCCCTTTCTTCCCCCACCCAGAGCCTCAGATGCCGCCCAGGAGGGACCTGGGCATCCACGAGGTACCCCTGAACTTCTGCTTTTCCCGATAAAGTGGAGCAGTGGCATGGGGAGAGGTCTGAGGCCCGGGCCATCCTCTCACACGGGCATGGGCACCTCGTCGTATTCATCCCGACCTTCCTCCTCATCAAAGGTTGCCTTGGTGTCGTCAGCATCCAGCTGGAGGGTGGGGTAGGAAGGAGAGAGGGTGAGTGGCCCAGAAGCCAGATGAGCCCTTCCCCAGCACCAAGAGGCCCCTCTGGAGTTAGGAGAGGGCCTGGCTCTCTTTGAACCTTGGATGAGTCCTGCCCCCAGGGTTGGTCAACCTGAGAGATTTCCAAAGGGTGGGGAGCCCCTGGGCATCTAGTGACCTCTGCGGGGGGCAGACATCCAGAGGGCAGGCAGGGGGCTCCTTCACCAGGGCAGCCCCACAGCGACCCGTGTCATGTCTTAGAATTCTCCTGGAGGTGCGACTCTTCCAAAATGATTTGGAAGACCACAGGACCAGCTGCTCTGTGGTCCGGACAGCTCATGTGGAACACAACCTGTGTGTCTCTTAACCCTCTCACCAACCCTGTCACTACTCCTCCTTTTACAGGTGAACAAACCAAAGGCACAGAAAAACGGGGCCACTCGCTCTAGGTCTTAGGCTGGGACGTGGCAGCTCCAGGATCTGAATGCCGGCCCCAGATCTAGGCCTCAACCCCACTGTTCTCTCCTCATTCTGAGACCCACCCCCTCTGATGTGCCCTCCCTGCGCCCGCTCTGGAGTCCTGCCCTCCAGCTCCTGCTCTCTCCGCACCCTCCCTCCTGCCCCGGGCCTGGAGGGGTGGGGTGGGAGCAGCCACTCACACACTGGAGCTCCAGCTTCCTGAAGATAAGTGGCAGCAGGAGCCGGCGCAGAGGCACTGTGAGGATGAGCATGAAGGGCAGGGCCAGCGAGGTGGCCTGGAAGGATTTCACTGCCCACAGCACTGCCAGGCAGACGATCTGGATGCCCGTGAACAAGTGCATGCGCCAGGTCTTTACCTGCGGGCAGAGGCGGGGTCATCGCCTGCAGGGCACCAATCACTCCCACCCAACCCCGGGCTGGGCAGCCAGAGGGCCCTGTACCCGCTTGACGTAGGGCACATCCGGGTGGTACTTGGGCGGCTTGCAGAGAAGCAAGATGCGGTCAAAGAGCTGGATGCCGCTGAGGGACGTGACCCCCATGTAGAGGAAGATGCCAAACAGCACAGCCAGGGGGATGTGCGACAGGATGGGCCCCATGAGGATGGACAGGCCTGCAGGAGAAGCACAGACTTTCAGCTTCACGTGCCCTGGAGGACTGGCACCAGGTCTGGGGAATGAAACTGCAGGTGCCATGTAGAGCCCTTTCTGTAGATCCGTTTTTTGTTTTTTTATCCTCACCCAAGGATTTTTTTTTTCTAGAGAGAGACGAAATGAGAGTAAGAGAGAGAGAGAGAGAGAGAGAGAGAGAGAGAGAATGAGACACATCCATGGGTTGCCTCCCATACGCACTCGGACCGGGGATTGAACCCATGACCTTTGGGTTCATGGGATGATGCTCTAACTACTGAGTCACACCGGCTAGGGCTCTGTGGATCTTTTTAATAGGTATTGCCCCCATTTTACAGATGGAAACAGACTCAGAGAGGTGAAGCAACTTGCTCAAGGCCACACAGCTGGTAACTGGCAGAGCAGGGAGTCAAGCTCCGACCTGCCTGATTTCAAAGCCTACTCCTCTAACCTAGGGGAGTCGGAGAGGTCAGAAAAGCCCACTTTTTTCCTCACCCCAGCCCAGAATGCCTCCTCACCCTCCACCTATCCAAATCCTAACCCTCCTCCAGCTAACATCAACCTCGCCTTCTTTAAGAAGCTTCCCTGGTATCTCCATCAGTGGTCATGTGCTGCCCACACCATGTGCTGGACTCACCGCTGCTCTAGACTCAGATCAACGCTCTGTCTTCTCCTCCTCCACCCCCAGGTCATGCCTGGAGCACTACCCTTTGCAGCAGTCATAGAGCAGCTGAGCTAGAGAGACCTCAGGGACATCTAATAAACCTCTAATGGTGCAAAAAGGGAAACTGAGGCCCAGAGACAAGAAGAGATACCGAGGTAGCAATAGGGCAAGGCTGGAGCCCACAGTTTATGAACTTCTGTCTGGAGAAGGCTTTAGTCAGGGAGGCCTCCTTCTTCCCTGCTCAGGTGCCCATCTCAGTGCCTTGGAAATTTCCTCCAGAATCCCATCATGTGAATAACACACTAGGGAGATGTGGGCAGCAGGTGTGTCAGGAGGGCTGGAGAGGGCTGGATCCTAAGGGGCAGAGGCTGGAGGCCAGGGCCAGGGCCAGAGGGTGAGGGCAGCCCTCACTCACCCACAAGCACAGAGACCAGGAGCCCGCTGATCCGCTGCTCCTTGACCTCCTGGATCTGGGCTGCAGCCCCTGGTGAGCTGGCCTTGCCCATGACGGTGAGGGCATTGGCATGGGTGACAGAACGCACAGTGGTGGCACTGAGCCAGGGCATCCCAAAGAGAGTGGCCAACCCCCCCATGCCAATGACCAGCAGCAGGTCCAGGTGGAAGCCGGAGCCCTTGACCATCTTGCGCTCTGGTTTGCTGATAATCAGCCTGGGGGTGAGGAAGGCCAGGGGTAAGCAGGGCTCTCCTTACTGTCCCTCCTACATCCCCTCCCTCCTTCCCCATACTTCAGTTTCTATGTACCTCAGTTTATCCTTCTGTGCCCATCTCCCTTGGAGTTCCTTGCTCCTCACCTTCCCGCCCCATCTAGAGAATCCAGACTCTCAGAACAGAAGTGTCTCAGACATCACCTAGAATGTCCACAGGCAGATTTACTCTGAAGCTAATGAATCATAGGCTCCAGGGAGCATCACTGGTACAAGTGCCTTCCAAGATCTGGCACCTTACTTTGTACTTCTCATTTTGTGTTCTTGTTCCTAAACGGGCTCCCCAAATGAGGCATTGTCAGGTCCCACAAAAACTGGCCCTGCCCCTGCCTGTCCATCATTCCTGTGAGTAGGGAGGGCCACACATTCCACTGAGACCAACTAGCAGCGGTCCTTCGTGTTTTGCCTACCTGGAACCTCTCCCTTTCTCTGCCCAAACTCTCCCAGCCCAGCCCCACCCTGGCTCTTACGTAGTGATCTGGGACTCAAGGAAGATGAGGATGAAGACCAGCAGTGCCGGCAGAGCGGAGGCAAACATCATCCAGATGGGGAACTCGGAATACAAACCCAGTGGGTGGATGATCCAGCCCCGGGCCGAGGAATTGGACACCTTAAGGCCTGTGGGCACGCTGAGTTTCTGTAGGAGGGGGATGCTGGTAAGAACACTGGGGCAGGGGGATGGGGAAAGGTGGAGACGAGGACACAGGGTCCTGGACACTTGGGAGTTCACTTATACTGAGCACCTACTTTGTACCCAGTCCTTACACTAAGCCTTTTACGTACATCTCATTTCCAACTTTATAGATTTGGCAACAGGGTCAGAGAGGTTATGTGGCTTGTTATCTGATGGCAGAGTGAGAGTCGTGCTCAGATTTGCCTGGCTCCAAAGCAGATTCTTTCCTGCTGCCCTGAGTTAAGGAGTACAGGGAGCAAACTGGCCCAGGCCCTTGCTTAGGCAGGAGGGGCCCTGCAGGCTGTGGGAGGAACGGGGGGCTCTCAGGGGAGGCAGGAGGAGGGAAGGATGGTTTTAGCTGACTTCAGGTTTGAGAAAGCCGTTCTGGGGAGGGAGCAAGCTGGGGAAATGAAATGAGGGTGGAAGGAGAGGGTCACCTGGGTGTAGGTGTCCTGGATGAAGAAATCCACTATGACCATGATCAGGATGGAGATGGGAACCCCAAAGTCCCCAATGACCCGTCGCAGCTGAAGGCAGGTGGAAGAACCAGTGGTTAGTGCCCAGTTGCTCCCCACCCCCCACTTGCCTCCACTCCTTCCCCATCTTCCCCCTGGGGGCCCTGCTCTTCCCAGGGGACGTCAGCATCTAACGCCCTGTCTTGCTCTGAACCAGCTCCACCTCTGGCCCCACAGTTCTCTACCCCTTCCGAGCACTGTCCCTGGTTCTCCACTGGGGTCTCAGCCTGGGCATGCTGAGAAAGGGAGACGGGCTTGCCTGAAAGTGAGATTCTGGATGAGGAGGGGGTTAGGGAGGCTTGGAATTGGGAATGAGAGTCTAGGGTAAGAAGGGGAGCTAATGGCACTGGGGAAACCCGGGGTGGGGGGTGCTTTGGACTGGGACAGGGCAGGGTGGGCAAGGGCAGGTGGAGACAATGTGCTGACCTTGCCAGGGAAGTAGGAGCTGTTCTTGAACTTGCGCAGCATCATGGCAAAGAAGAAGGTGCCAGCCATGAGCACAAGGGAGAGGAGGGCTGTGTTGGGCAGGGGCGCCTGAGGTTTGGGCTCTAGCGTCACATTGTGCTGGTAATGCTTCTGCAGCGGGTGGCTCTGGAAGATCTGCAGCAGAAAACCAAGGCGCCCTGTTCCTTCCCACCCAACCACCCCCTGTCCATCACCCAGCTACCCATCCACCACCCACCCACCTAGCTTCTTCCTCAGCTGACATGGTAACAGAGAGTCAATGAAACTCTACAGGCCAGGCTTGTGTGGGGTGGGCCATGAAGGCAATGTGTGTGTGTGAGTGTGTGTGTGTGTGTGTGAGTGTGTGTGTGTGTGTGAGAGAGAGAGAGAGAGAGAGAGAGAGAGAGAGAGAGAGATCACCCAGGGCCTGGGAGACATGAGAAGGCTAGAGTGCAGTGCTTGAAGGGCTTGGAAAGACCCACCAACCAACAGAATCAGGGGCAGACATACAGTGTTCCCCCTTCTTCCATATAAAATGCAGACACAGAAGCAGGCATAGTTTAAGGTGACAGAGCTGAGGGGGCAGGGTTCTCAGTTCATAGGATCTGCAGTTCTTGAGGGCAGGTGCGAGAGAGAGGGAGAACATCAGAGCCTCAGTAACTGCCCCCACCACCCCCACCACGCGTGCGATCTCCCATTTCACTTTCACACACACACCCACTAGTCAGTCTGGGTGTGGTTATAAACATGGACATGTGCACCTAGAGGTGCCCTCTCTTGCAGTCACTCTGCACAGTCATGGCAAGAAGACCGGCAGCAAGTGTCAACGTGTATGTGGTCATAGTCACATGATGTGAAAACACAGCCACACAAATGCCGCACAGACACGTGTGCAGTGACACAGAGTCACACAGTTTATGCCCAATCTCACACACGCGCACCCCCATGCTCGTTCACACTTCACCTTGATCAGCTTGGTGAACGTCTCGTAAATGAAGATGAGGGAGATGAGGAAGGAAAAGATCTCCTGGGTGTAGCGGGAGATGAAGCGGACCAGGAAGCTGCCCTCGAAGGCCACCACCAGCACCACCATTAGGATGAGCCAGAAGCCGATCCACACACGACCCACGATGTACTCCAGGTTATTCCTGTCGCAGAACTGCAGGGTGGTCAGAGGGAGCTGGGGTCAGACAAACAGGGCTGCACTGTGCCTCAGGCAGGGGGCCAGGGGCCAGGTACAGGGTCACGGCGGGCCAGAGCAGAGCTACCGAGAAGAATGCTTCCTCAAACACCAGCAGGGGTCCCGAGAAGCCAACCACAAGCAGGGGCTGAGCCGCCAGCAGGGCGAAGAGAATGCCCTGCGCCGCTGTAGAGATGAGCAGCTCCGACACCCCCATCTGGTTCTGGGTCTTCTCTCCTGTGGGTAGAAGTTACAATGCGGTCAAGGTCAGGAGATCATTTCCAAGGGCCAGCGGAGCATTTCATGGGCCGGCTGATGCAGGGGTCCAGAGTGTCGGATCAGGGCAGATGCCAGGGCCCACACAGAGGCCAGAGGGTCAGAAGGTAACGTTGGGGGGCATGCAGAAGAACTGACCCAGGAGGCCGCCGAACGTGATGGCAGGTGACAGGGCAGCAAAGTAGATGAAGATGACGGCAGCCAGGACCTGGGGGCTGAGTGCATCCGTGATGTCACTCAAGTAGCGAGGGTAGCGACGCTTTATGTCACGCACCAGGCCCCCGAAGAGCATGCCTGTTCGTTGCAGAGGGTCGTCCGGGCCAGCAGGGACCCCTCCATTTAAATCTGTAGTGAAAGATAGGACCATAATCATAGGGGAAAACAGGGAGAGGTGTGGGGAGAGGGGAGTTGAATGGGGATCTGATGGGAATGGGGTGGCCAAGGAAGCTGGGTGGGGAGATGATAGGATGAAGGGACATCTGGGTATTTATGGGAAGAAGGGAGGCAGGGGCTCACAGGGCTTCGCTGGGGTGTCTGAGGGGCTGTGGGGCTCAGCCTTGGGCTGGGCAGGGCAGGTACCTAGGCCTTTGTAGAAGCTGGGGTCCGGCTTGGCAGCGCTGGGCAGGTAGCGTCTTCGCAGCAGCTCCCTCTGCACAGGCACCAGGCTGAGTAGGGCCTGCTCCGAGGGGGCGTCCAACGGAGGCAGCACCAGGCTGCAGTCCAGAAAGCCCTCCAGGGAGCGCGCCAGCTCTTCCCGACTCTGGGCCAGGTACGCATCCAGGCGGAACACCTGGGGCCAGAGAGAGAGGGTCAGGGTTGCCTGGACCCAAGAGTCCACAGCCAGGGCCCCTGAGGACCAGAACCCTGTTATCCAGCTCCCAGTTCACCCAGGAATTGCTTTTCTTGCCCACCTCCTGTACCCCGTATCATGAAGAGTTCTGGGGGGCAGACAAGGCCCTGAGTGAAGAAAGGAGACCGAACTCGAGCAAACCAGGGGGTTTACAGCAAACCATATGAAGCCAGAGCAGACTAGGCCATGCCAGCCAGACTTAACCAGGGAGAACCAGGTCAGAGTGAGCCAGGTTAGGCCAGGCGAGATCGGCGGGGCTGGGCCGGGCCAGACAGGTCAGAAGCAGCTGGATCTGACTGAATGGGCCAAACTAGTGAAGCTAAAGTGACCCAGGCCAGTGGAGAATGGGCCTCAACTGCTACCCAGCTCCTGGGCTCCCCCAGCCCTCGCCGGCTCCTCCTTACTCTCTCTGACATGAGGGTGGCAGCAGCCCGGCCCAGCTGGGTGTAGTCAGTGTGCGAGGTCTCGGGGCCCAGCAACACAAGGAGGAAGCGCACGGGCACGGACAGCTCCACCGCGTCCTCCAGCGCCGCGGCCTCCTGCAGCCGCACAAAGCCCAGTACGGGCCGCTCCAGGAAGGTGGCTCGGCCTGTGGGACGAGGTGGGGGACATGAGGTGGTCTGGCCAAGCTGAGGGGCACTGCTGGGGTCCAGGCTTAGGGAGAGGCAGGTCGGGCCAGGACAGAAGGTGGAGGCAGGGGTGTGGAGGGGTGAGTGGGTAGGAAGCACCATTGCTTACCCACAAGCACCAGGGTCGCCTCGGAATCCGGGTGGATCTTTTCCAAAATTCCAGAAGGTGAGCGGCCTTCTTTGCTCCCCTCTCCCTGTCCGAAGGAGGGAGGTAAGAAGAGCATCAGAGCACCGGGCCCCTCCTCCCTCCCTACTCTCATTTCTAACCATGTTCCCGGCACTCCTCATACATCCCTGCGACAGCCTCACCTGTTCACAGAATAGCTGAGTCTCCAGCGAGGGGCGTTGGGGGAGCAGAGGCTGTGAGGGGTCCCCGGAGCGGGTCACGACCGTGGGCTTGACACCCCCCAGGGCCTCTAGGTCTTTAGCATGGCTGCAGGACCCAAAGGGGACATGGGCTGAGTAAGCTGTTCAGGTTTTGCTGTCAGCAGAGCCCTGGTGGCGGGAGGGATCGACTAGGACTTCCCAGTGACCAGAGTAGAGACCTTGGGGCAGAGGGAGAATCAGCCTCTTCTGAAGGGTGTAGCGGATATAAGTGGGTGGCCTCTGTCTGGAATGACTAGGTGGAGCCAGAAGAATGAGTGGTGGGAAGGGCCTTGAGAGTCTGCCCTCCTGGGGACCAGTGGTCCCCCAATCTGAACATGGGGACATGGCCACCCCTCAAGAGGTGTCAGAGGCAGGAGCCATTCTGGAAGAAAAGTGGGCTCCAGACTGGCAAGAGAGGGGTCATTTGGACTCTCAGGGAGAGCTTGGGGCAGGGGCTGGGGAGGTAGGCCCTTTGGGAGTGGAGCCCTGGTCTGGGCAGGTAGGCCACCTGTGTTTGAGTAGCAGGACCCGGAGCAGCTCCTCTCGGTCCTGAGGCCGGATCTGCTCGTCATAGATAAACCCGTCCAGCAGCTGGTTGGCCACTCCAGCCAGGGAGGTCTCTGGCAGATCCAGGAGGACAGTCCCTGCAGGCAGTGGAGGGGTGAGCTGGACAGCTGGACCGTGGCCCTCCTCCTCCCCACCAAGCCTCACATGCAGGGGTCCCAGAGGGGGCCTGTCAGGGCTCACCCTTAGTGAAGGCTCGCTGCAGCTCCAGGAGGCTCCAGAAGGTGAGGTACGACAGGTGCGGGCGGCCCCAGGCCCCGTCCTCCCCCAGGTTCTCCTCCAGCCGCACCCAGCGCGCTGCCTCCATCCATTGTAGCTCCTGGTTCTTCTCGTCCATCACCAGTTCCTGCAGCTCCACGTAGACCTGCAGCCCCACAGACCTGAATTAGTCCGTCAGGCTCTGGGCAGGGCCGTTGGGAGACTGGCAGCCCAGGGCATGGCGGACACTCAGCAGTCCCTAGGAGATGTTTGTAGGAGGCCCAGGGCACTGGGGCATTTGGGGGCAGATCCTGAGCTCAGAGGGACAGTCCAGAACTCCAGCCTGGAGTGTGAGTGAGAGGGGGAGTGGGGAGGTGCGTGAGGGTCCTGTAGGTACGGCCCACACTTCCGGCTCTGGGCCTCGGCTTCCTGACCGGGCCCCTGACTTCATTTCAGAGGCATTTGGAGAACCTCTGGACCAAACAGGGTGCTAGAGTGGGCACTTAGAAGGGAAAGGAGAGGGAAGTCAGGTCACTGGGTCATCTCCTGCCTCTAAGATTGTTGGGCAGGTGTGTTGCTCAGCTTGTTCTTGGGTTTCTTCGGGGCCAAGTGGCCACTCTCAAGGGCCTAGCTGAAGGCAGAACAAATTTATTAATCAGCTAGACAGTTTGGGGCCCAGCAGGGATGTAGGGGGCCTGGGCAAAGGAGAGCATTATTTACTTCTGGGCTTCCCCAGGAAGCACCTGACAACCCAGCCAGGGCCACAGGGCCTGCGGGCTCAGACCTCCGGCAGCCAGTTTCTCTCTGCCCCGTGGACTCCCTCCTAGTGAAAGGGAGCCCCGTTCTCTCTGTGCAGTGGGGGCTGTCCTCTTTCCTCCTACTGATGTCGCAGGGTCCCCCCTCTGCCCAGCCGGTTTGAAGCTGCTCCTCTCGGGGGCAGCCCTGATAGAATGGTGGGTCCCAAGGGCAGTACAGGGAGAACAATTGGGGGAGGCTGGGGGTCCTTACCTCGTGGGTGTCTGGTTGCAGTGTGGTGTGGTAGTCTGTGGCTGTTGACTCGGTGGGGTGAGCTGAAAACCCGGAGGCTGGTTAGTGCTGCCCCCCCACCCCCGACAATCCTGTGCCACAGGCATCGGCCCCAGAAACCTGGGCAGGATGGTGTCCTGCTGGGACCCTGGTGCCCCCACCTCAACCCCCTGCTCTGGGGCTGGGGCTCCCCATGCTTGTTCTTGGCCCAGCCTGGCTCTGTCACCCCCATCTGAGCATCGTAGAAGACCCTGGGACCATCCACAGTGATGACCAGGGGCGTCATCTCCAAGGCCATTGGAAAGACCTGAATGGCAATTTTCAGGGTCCTCTTAGGGTCTCTTCTCCCTCATGCCACCTCTGGGACCAGTTCCTTCCTTCTCACCCACCTCAAGAATCCTGCCAGCCCATCACTTCTCCCTACTCCAAGCTGAGCTCTGGGCACCAGGGTGGGGTCTGCCTTTATATGGCCCCATGGCCCCCCACCCCAGCCCTCATTTCCCAGAGGAGCCTCTTATCTTCAGTACTAATTGCCTGCACTTAAGTTCTGTTGACAGTAAATAGGTGCCTGCCTGGGGCTCCCCAACTAAGACCTTGGACAGACCAAGGAAGGTTCCCCCCCCCATGTCTCTCTGCCCTGGGGGTCCCTAAGACCCCCAATTTTTCAGGACCTCTGGACCCTCAAACCGAACAATGTTTCCAGAACAGGGCCAGTGCCTGGCATAGAAGCCAGCATTGGATGGGCATGGGTGGCTCCTCCTTTGCCCCAGACAGGCCTGGTTGCCCTCTCACAAACCTAAGGGGCACGGTGATGGTGACAGGTGACTGGGCCTGCCCACCCCCCAGTCGCCTCCTGTGATCATTTCAAACAAAACTCTGTTTATCCTTCAATCGGCCAGGATTGTGGGAGAACTGGCCCTGGGGCTGGAGCAGTGGGGGAAGGAGTTCAGAGAAGAGGGGAGGGCAAGGTCCCCAAATGTCCCTGTCTGGGCTCCGCAGCTTACCCCAGCAGAGAGAAGGGGGTGGAGCTTACCTTCTGGCTCCTCCTCCTGGGACACAGGAACACCTGGATCTTCATACTCGTCCTGCTCTAGAATTTCTTCCAGCCCCTCTTCGTAATCCTCCTGTGGGAAGTGGCCATCAGGACTGGGCTGTAGGGGCTTCTCGAGTCCCCATGAAGGTAGGAGTTCAGGGCCAGGTTCCCAGAGCCCCTAGGTAGGAGCCCTGCAGATGCCACAAGGACTCACCTGCAAATCCCCCATGGCGCTGTCCTGATTGTCTGATTATCCACAGGGATCTGAGCCCCCAGCATAACCCGCACTGCGGGTCCCTGCAGAGAACAGGCACAGGTTGAGTGAGGCCCCGGGCATCCTGTGATCTCCTGGTCCTCCCCAGAGGGGGCTGCATTTGAGTGAAGAGATATTCCAGTTGTTGGGAGACAGTGGGGTCAGAGGAAGGAGGTATGGGTGGAGACTTGGAGGAAGGAGCTGGATTTGCAGATATAAGGACCAATGTGCAGGGGCAAGGAGAGATGGGGCAGTGCAGGGAAGAGGAAGCTTGACTGGCTAAGGGTATTTGGGGAGAATGGGTATATCCTTCGAATCTGAATCCTTTCTCCATTCACCAGTACTCATCTGGCTTCATTTTCTGCCCATCCCCAGGACTCAGCCAAACCTAGGGCAGCATGACCTGTCCCCTCTTCAGGGGGCTTAGCTCTTCTGAGAGTCTCCACAACATTCTCTCTTCTCCCAGAGATTACTGCTTTGCGCTGGGCACAGGGCTGCAGCATCCTTGGGAGTGGCCCACATGTGTTGGATGAGGTGGCCCTGCTACTCTCTCCCACCTCATCTAGAACTCTGTCTCTTTGGCTCTCTCCCCACTTATCCCATTGTTCTCTTTACCAAGCCCTTTTCTGCCCCAGGGCCTTTGCATGTGCAGTTGTCCCACATCTTGGATGCCCCTCCCCCACATACCTCAGCCCTTCTCACATATCAGCTCAAATGTTACTGCTTCAGATTCCTTCCCTGACCACTCTAACATGCACTAACTAAATTTGTCATTTTCTGGTTTCTTGATTCATTTGTGCATATGTTGTCTGATGATTCCTGTAGAAGGGAAGACACGTGAGGGCAGACCTTGCATGTCTCAATCCCCACTGAATTCCCCACTCCTAGCAGAATGGTTACACGTAGTAATCATTAATAAATACAAGCTGAGTAAATGTAAGAATGTGTTCCCCTTACAGGCATAGAGCTCCGGTACTGAGAAATTAGTGTGACTAGGACCCAGCCAGGAGACCACTGGGTCCTATGCTTCCATTTTCCCAGTTGTGTCTCTAGCAGAGAGAAAAGTATGCCCACTCCAGGAATGTGAGGACAAGTCCAAGGGCAAGGCAGCGGTCCCCTAGGGTGGTTCCAGGCTTGGTATGGAAAGACTTCTTTTCCCATCTTACCCACACAGCATGGCCATTGTGGAGAGAGATTGGGCCAGGCTGACAAATGTGCCCACTGTGCCTGCACGGAGCTGAGCAGCGGGACTCTGAGATGAACGAGACACTGTCCCTACCCTCAAGAAGCTCCCAGCCCTGACTGGGGAGACAAGCCGGGAGTATGTGACAAACTAAGTGGCTCAGGAGATAACATGTCTCTCAGACAAACACAAGTTATGAGTGGAATGTGCTGGGTGCCAAGGATCTGCGAGGCAGGAGGAAGAGTAGGACTCATTGGTGGAGAAGGGGATGGAATGTCTCTGGAGGAGGGGACACTGGTGTTGGCTCTAGAAGCACCAGGAGGTCTTGAAAGGCTGAGAGGGGGAAAGAGATAGCCCAGGTGTGAGAAATGATGGGCAACGGGCAGAGAGTATATACAGAAAGGATTATACAAATAACTTCCTTTCTGAGGACGAGCTGGCTGTGCAGTCCTTCGGGATAGACAGAGGGGCATGGCCCACCAAACTGAGAACGGGAGGGGTCCCTGCCTTGGGGTGGTGGTGGGGCAAGTGATTGGCCATGGGAGTGTCCCAGAGCCTGAGAATGGGACCGTCCCTACTGCATGGGATTTGTCCCTTGAAGATATATATATTTTTTTCTTTATTGATTTTAGAGAGAGAGGAAGGGGGAGAGAGAGAGAGAGATAGAAACATCGATGAGAGAGAACATCGATGGGCCGCCTCCTGCATGCCCCCCACTGGGGATCGGGCCCACAAGCTGGGCATGTGCCCTGACCGGGAATCAAACCGGCGACCTCTTGGTCGACACTCAACCACTGAGCCACACTGGCCGGGCTCCTCTTGAAGATCTTGATCACACATCTTTTCTTTCCCTCTTCTGTCCCCCTCTGTCCCCTTCTGCCCAGATTTCCCTGCCTCATATTTATTCTCTTTCTTCCTTCTCTGGCCTTGCCTCTGCCTGGGCCTTAGATCCCTAGAATTCTCTAGAGTGTTAAACCTTAGGTGTTAAAAATCCCACCCATGAGGCTGGGACTCTGGCCTGTTTCCCACCTGAGAGGTGGGATCCTCAGAGGGGCCTCTAGGACCAGAGAAGGGAGAGAGCCAGGCTGCCTCTCTGCCACTGACGGGCCCGACGGCCTTGGGCAGCTCCCAGCCTCTCTCTAGGTCCTGGTCGTTCCATCTGTATATCAGGAGGTCCTTCCCCCCAGGGCTCTGAAACATCAGTGAGAGAAGAGGGGTGCCTGGCGCTCTTCCAGGGCCTTAAAGGGGCACCTATAACCCAGATTGCTGCCACCACCAGGCCCAGCACCTTCCAGCTGCAGGCCTCGCTCTGCCTGACACCGATAAGAACCTGGTCCCTGATCGCTGCCCTGCATCTGGAAGCATACCAATCACCTGGCCAGCCAGCCAGCCAGGGTAAGGCCAGATAAGGGTGAGCGGGCATCTGGAGCCCGGGAGGTGGAGCACAGCTGGAGAGGCGTGGGGGGCGGGCGGCGACCAGATGACAGGGAGAGCTCCCTGGTGGCGTAGCACCACCTTTGTGTAATTGCCCCAGCATCACACCAAGCCGCACTGCCTTATCTCTTATAATCCCACACCACCCTGTGCAGCGGGTCCTGTCATTAGCCGTTTTACAGAAGAGAAAGCTGAGGTTCGGAGAGGTTTAGCAGCTTTGGTCCCCTAGTAGGTAGGTATCAGAGACAGGATTAAACCCTGGCCTACCTGACTCAAGCTACATCTCTGACCATTAGACTGAGTTGCTGCCAGAAGATAAAATAGCTATTCGCTGGTTTACTGTTAGTAATTAAGAGCCTGGACTCTGCAGTCAGACTGCCTGGGTTCAAATCCCAGCCCTGCCATTTACTAGCTGTTTGACTTGTGTGACCTTGGGCAAGTGACTCAACCTCTCTGTGCTTCAGTTTTCTCATCTGTAAAATGGGTGATAATAATATCTACCTCGTAGACCTGTTATAGACCTAAATTCATGTGTATAAAGCATTCAAAATAGTGCCTGGCACCTCAGGAACTCTACATAGACGTTTGCCATCATTATCGTTGCTACTGGGCATCAAGATTAGACTTACAGTCTTCATCCCATAGAGTTAGCCTAAGTGCTTGGAGATCCTTGGTGGCTGGGGACTCCTCCTTCCCTCCGTACACTCCCTACAGGGGGTCAGTGTTAGATCTCCCTGGTAGACTCCCTGAAATGCCCCAAATGGGAAGCAGTATCAGCTGACAACTTTTCTCCTAAGAGAGTAATGAGGTGACCTGGGGACCCCCATACATGGGGGAAAGAGGACACTGGGGGGTAAAACCTGAGTCTGTGTTCTGAGGGGCTGGTAAATAGGAGGCTTCCGGGAACCCACACACACATTGACACACCAGTCACAAACACCTCTGTTGCCACGTGCCAGCCTCTTTTTCCTAACACCGGCCACTTTTCCTAATATTGGCCACCCTGCACACCCCAGTAGCAGGTGCCAATGGGCCTGTGCCCTAGGGGTAACAACACACATTGAAATGTTCTCACCCCACCCACCTGCACCCCTTTGGAGGTTAGGACACCTGTGCCCACTTGGGCAAAAATTTAGCATTGGCACCTGCAGAGACCCTCACAAGCACCACAAGACCCACCGTAGCCCCTCCTGGCCCTTCTCACCTGCTCACGAGACGTGGGGTCCCTCCAGGAACTCCTGCAGCCACTGGTGCCCTCTGCGATCAGCTGAGCTCACACCCGCTCTAACAGCACCCGGTTCTCGCTCCTTCGCCCCAGGGGCAGCTTGCAAACCCCTGACTCATGCCTCGCCTCCTAATCTGCCCGCCCATGGACACAGGAGCCCCTTCTCACCCTCCCGCCCTGCTCCCCCTGGGTGCCCAGTAAACAGAGTTATCTCTCACACACATCTGGACAGCTGTGAGTCTGGCCCACCCCACCCCAGCTGGCCAGCCCCAACATCTCCCTCCTGGCCCCTAGGCTTCCCCTGGTCTTCCTTTGTGGACTAAGGTTTGATGGCTAGGTTCTCAGAGCTCGCAGCGTCCAGGCAGGTCTGGCCCAGGCTGTGGATGCCCCTGTCCTGCCCCTGTCCAGCCCCTGTCCAGCCCCTGTCCAGCCTCCCTTGGGCCAGGCCCCTCTGCTCTGGCCCAAGGTGCACAGGCGCTTTCTCCTCTCACCTCCCTCCTGTCTTCTCTCTCCTCCCTCCGTGTCCTCCCTGAGGACTCGCTCTTCCTTTGCAGCCTTCCCCATGGGGACCTGCTCCGTGCTCACAGGGCCCAGGCAGCCCTCTCCTCCGCCTCTTGTTCCAGGCCTGGGTGCCCTGGCTACCCTCTCCCCAAGACCCTGGCTGGCTCCAAAGAGCTGGCCCTTGGGCGCTAAGACGCTGCCACTCAGTCAACCTGAAACAATGTTAGGTCAACAAAACAACCTTCCCCACACAGGAGCTCAGAGCTCACAAAGCCTCAATGTCTGGGCACACTGGCTCCTCTGTCGGCAGCCTGGCCCAGAGCAGCCTGCATTCTCGGCCCACGCTGTGCCCCTCCCCACACTCCCCCAGCGAGCAGTCTCTGCTCCCGGGGGTACTGGGGCGGTCCCCTATTCCTGGGCTCTGCTTACTAAAGAGGAACAGCCTGAACGAGGAGTTCAGATGAGCAAGAAAGAAGAGAGGTTTGAAGTCGACAGCAAGGGGGTTTTGTGGACCCTCTCTGGGCAGCGGAGACAGGACATCATCCTAGCCCTGCCACTGACTGGCTATGAAACCCGGGCGAGTGCCTGCCCCGCTCTGTTCTGCACTGTCCTCGGCTATAAAGTGAGAGTGCGGGTTCTGTGGCGCCAGCTTGGGAACTCTCCACTCTAGGCCCCAAACATAGAAACTCGGAGCCGAGGACAGAGAGGTGGGCACATCCAGCAATTCTGCAGTCACGTCCTGGGTCTCCACCCCAGCCCGCACTGGGATCCTGTTCGGGGGGCTTCCATTCTGGGCCTCGTGCTGGGGCTTCACCTGGTAGCCACACTCAGACCTTCCAGCCTCCCGCTTTACAGAGGAGGAAACTAACACAACAGAGAGGTAAAGGGGCTTCCCCGTGAAAAGAGTAACCTGTGGACGGGACCAGCCCTGTGCAGGCACTGTGCCCACAGTTCACACGCCGTCTCTCTCTCAGCTCTCCAAGCTGCTCTGAGGAAGGCGCTGTGTATTCGTGTTATTTCCCTCTCACAGATGAGGACACTCAGGGCGGAAAGGTAGGTGGTTCGCCCCAGGCCCCTGGGCTGGTGGAGCCTGAGCCAGAACTCAAGGCTTCATTCTGCCTCCTGCTAAGCCCTGTGGTCCCTACTGCCACACCAGTTAGGAACAGAGGGGCCCTGGTCAAAGGGGCCTGAGGGATGCCTCCTCCTACTTCAGGTTGATGCTCACTCTTCCAGCTGCTGGAATCTGTCCCAAGCCCTGGCTCAGACTGGCAGCGAATGTCGAGTGACAGCCCTGCCTTCCCGCCACGGCCCAGAAGGCCCGGCGCGGTTCCCCTCTGCCTGCCCAGGAGCCAAGAGGCAGCTGAGTTCAGGAGGCAGCGATGAGCACCCCTCCCAGGTCCCAGAAAGGACTGGCAGCTGGCTCCTGGGGGGTGTGGGGACGACAAATGGGAACATCTGGATTAGCAGAATCTTCCCAGCTGTTCTGCAGGTACCATTCCTGCAGCCCACCAGGTGCCCCAGCAGCAGCAGAGCAGGTTGGCATCTGGTCCTCTCTGAGCACACCATGTGTTCTAGATCACTCTGGTTGCCCTAACTGGATGAGGATGTTTCCCTGCATCTGCCCAACATCACATTTTGTGTGTTTATGGCTCCTCTCACTCATTTTATTCCAGTTTGGAGTTGGGTCAGCTCAGTTCATCTGAAGGCCCCATGTCCCTGGGCAGGATGGAAACGCTCAGACAGCCTGGTTGGCATTTGGGGGAATAGAGTGGGGCCCCAGGACACCTTGAGAGGGCCCCACACCCTGTCATCCTCTTCCCTGAGCATCCCTCTCGCCACCCCTACCCTGCCATTGCCTAGAGCACTAAGGGAGGAGCCTACCAGGACCCCTTCTCAAGGTCTACGGGTGTCTTGATCCACGTCTGTGCTGGCAGAAGTTGGCGAATCAAGGCCAAATGGAACAAGGTGAGCGCAAGGTGCACCCCTAGGCTGGGCTGGCGGAAGCCCACCCTGGACAGTGATTTGGCTGCACCCCCGCATGATGTTATTCTAGACCACGCAGCCCAGACTATGGATTGGGATAGTTTGTCCCAAAGGGAAACTCTGTGGGCAGGGAGTGAAGGTCCCCTGAAGGGATGAGGCTTTCTTCTTAATTTTTTTTTTTTTTTTTTAATATCCTCACCCGAGGACATTCCTGCATTTTTTGTTCAGACAGAGCGGGAGGGAGAGAGAGGAAGAGAGAGAGAGAGAAACATCGATGTGAAAGGGACACATCAAGTGGCTGCCACCCGCACGACCAACCAGGGCCGGGGACAAACTGCAACCGAGGTACATGCCCTTAGCGGGAACCGAACCCGGGCCTCTCTGTACCGCAGGCCGACGCTCTAACCGCTGAGCCAAACCGGCCAGGGCTCTTCTTAATTTTTAAAAAATACATTTTTATTGATTTTTTAGAGAGAGAAATAGAAACATCCATGTGAAAGAGACATCCATCAGCTGTCTCCTGCACGCCCCCCACTGGGGATCAAGCCTGCAGCCCGGGCATGTGCCCTGACCAGGAATCGAACAGGGACCTCTCAGTCCATGGGATGATGCTTAGTCCACTGAGCCACACTGGCTGGGCGAGACTTTCTTATTTTTGATCATCCTGGAATGCCGGCAGTCCTCAGGAGAAGCAAGGACTTGTCAGTGGGTCTTGGAAGGGGAGGCTGCTTTCTCTCTCTTGGCCTGAAGAAGAGGCTGAGACTCCAGGTGGGAGAGGGGGGTTTCATGGCGATTAGGTGAACTGTCCCTTGCAACAAACAGGCTTGGCAATGAGGTATTAGGTGGAGCAGGGTGGGCCTGGGACCACCTGAAGGTAGACCCATCTCGTAATCTTACACCTGCTTTTCGGTGCCCAGTGGGTGATTCTCAGCTGCTCTCCCCAAACCCCCAGCAAAGCCTTGCTGGACAGTTACCCCTTGGGGACTGAAGGGAGGCTCTGAGCCCACATTCACAGCAAAGTAGGCTATGGTTTGTAGTGGCAGCTAAGGTAAGTAGAGGTCCAGATGGCATGGGTGACCCACTAAAGGGAGCCAGGAGGCTGACAGAGGGGACAGGGTGTGGTCGGATGACGTGGAAGGACACATTGGTATTTCCTGTTGAAGATATGACTTCCTGTGTCCTCGTGGACTAGGGACTCAGACCACGGCTGGAATATTTGGGTTCAGTGGACCTGCTGGGACAGCGGGCTCTACCTGGTATATGTGACCTTGAGCTGGCCACATCTCTCTGGTCTTGGTTTTCCTCTCTGCACTGTTGTGAAGACCAATGGGATGACAGGTGGGAAGGAGCTGAGGGCATAATCTCTGGACACAGGAAAGGGACTGAGTTGTGAATGGGGAGAAGAAGCCATGGGGATTGAGTGTCCCCTGTGTATCATGTGGCCAGGGCCACCCAACATCCGTCCTCAAGGAGTTCATCCAGTGAGGAGAACAGGTGGCAGCGCACAAGAACCAGGTGGTGACAAGGGGTGTGAACAAAGAATAGCCTGGTGGGCAGGTCATTTGGGACGTGGAGAAGATGTCCCCACGGAGTCCTCTGAACCAGGTCTTAGAAAAGTTCATCAGAAGAAGCAGCAAGAAGTGTGAGGTGCAGCACGAGCTGGGGACCAAGAGTGGTCTAGGGGTTCATGAAAGTGGGACAGTCATCTCTGCACATTGGAAACGGGCCAGCCATCAGGACAGCAGGGGTGAGGAAGTGTAGGCGAGTGGGAAGTGGGGGAAGGGAGGGATGGGATTTGAACTAGAGAGGTGCGCAGGGATGAGCCTGTCCAGCCCTCCTCCCCTGGAACCCTGCCCCCCATTACTCACACCCTCCGCACCCTTGGCTGAGCCCAGGCGGCATTCTGAAGGCTTCTGCCTCTCCGGGGGCAGTTGGGTCAGATCGGTGCAAAGATGAGTTACTCTGAGTGTCCTTCCAGGAGTTGGACAGGATCCCCTGAGAGCGGTGGTCAGGAAAGAGGGAGGAGGGGTGGGGTTTTCCCAAATGGGGAAGAGGAAGGAGGTCAGAGGGCAGGTTCAGAGAGCTGGGGGCTCAGTGAGGTGAGTGGGGTGTCCTGGGAGGTAGGATCTGCTGAGGGGGCTCGAGGCAGGGCTGTGAGCTCTCAGAGTTTTTTGTTTTTTTTTTCCTTTATTGATTTTTTTTTTTAGAGAGAGAGAGGAAGGGAAAGGGAGCTAGAAACATTAATGAGACAGAATATCAATTGGCCACCTCCTGCATGCCCCTCACTGGGGATCAGGCCCACAACCTGGGCCTGTGCCCTGACCGGGAATCGAACCTGTTGGTGCCTGGGTCGATGCTCAGCCACTGAGCCACACCAGCCGGGCTGAGCTCTCAGAGTTTTGACACTTGCCTTCTCAGAAGGTTCTGTGTTCTCTGGGCTTCTGAGTCTTTACATGTGTGGTTCCTTGTCCTGAGACAGCCTTCTTTTCCCTGTCTGCTGGTTTGATTCCAGCTCCCGGGCTCAGCTCTTGAATCCCTGACTCTGTGAAGCCTCCCTCGCCCCATATGCCACCCCCACCGCCAGCCCTGGCAGACTGGGATGGCTCAGGCCAAGCCCATCTGCATTGGCACCTTCCTGTGCTCTCCTGGGATGGTCCAGGGCCTTGTCTTTGTCCTCTACAAACTCTGAACCCTGAACAGGGAACATCGCTCAGTCCTTTAAACCTGGCCCACAGCTCTGTCTGTAGTTAACAGTTCATATGTGTTTGTTGATTTTGAATGGAATCAATCATAAATTGGTCCCTTACCCCACAGCTGAAAGCATCGATGAGACAATATTTGAGAGGCAATAAAAGGGACACACACGGTAACGGTATTATTTAATTCTAACCATTTTTCCCAAGCCAAGAAATAAACCCTGGGCCTCCTTCAGTCTTTTAACTGGGGGCCTCATGCTCTCAAACCAACCTGTTTCCTTGATTCTTGACTTTCGCTCACCCCCACATCCAGCCCCGAAGGCTCATTCTATCGGCTGCACCTCCAGGTTCCATCCCCTTCTCTCCATCGCCAGTCTCTCCCTGGGCCCACCATTTCCCTCCTCCATCACCCCAGAGCCTCCCGCCTGGCCTTCTGGCGTCACTCAGACCCCGTACAATGCAAGTGCCACCCAGAACTCAGAGTGGACTTTTAGAAACATAAATCGGAAAACACCACTCCCCGTAAGAAATCCTTCATGACTCCCCCACATGTGGAGTAACACCCATCCCCTACCCTGAGTTACTCCTACTGCTCATCCCCTCCCGCTGGTCTCTCCCCACCCTACCTAGGTGCCCCTTCCCATCTCCCCCAGCTGGCTCCTTCTCACTGTTCAGGTCTCAGATCAAGTGTTGCCCCGAAAAACGCTTTTTTTTGAGCCCCCATTTTTGAGAGATAACCCCCAGCCACTCTGTCACAGAAAAATCAGGGTGGGCTGTGTGTGAGAGAAAACTCAAAGTCTTAGTGGCTTAAGCAAGACCAAAGTTTATTTCTCTTTGATGTAGAAGTCTGGAGGTAGCAGGTCCCAGGCTGGTAATGGTACTCTGTAGTGTCAGGGACTCTACCCAGGTACCTTCTACATTGTGGCATCGTTAGCAGGTGGCTTTCTCTTCATGGTCCAATATGGCTGCTTCAGCTTCAGCCATCACCTCTGCATTCCAGCTGTCAGAGAGGAGAAGGGGTTAAAGAAAGATGTGCCCTCTCGCTTTAAGAATATTTCTCAGAGGTTGTTTCTGCGTATATCTTATTAGGCAGGGCTTAGTCACGTGGCTACACTTAGCTTCAAAGGAGCCTGGGAAATGAAGTCTTTATTCTGGGAAGTCATGTGTCCGGAGTTCTAGTACCCAGGAAGAAAAGAAGAGTGGAAATGAGAGGACACCCGGCAAGCTTAGCCAGAATCGTATCACCTGCTAAATTCTCTTCTTTTTCCTACCAGCTGGTAGTTTTCTATTAATTATTTCTGTTATTATCTCTCTCCGCTGGAACATAAACTCCATGAGGGCAAGTTCTTTGTTAGTCTTGTCCATCACTGTATCTCCAGAGCCTTCCACAGTGCCTGCCACAAAGTAGGCTTTGAATTTTTACTGAATGAAGGATTGAATGATCCCTCGCAATAATTATTTGAGGGAAGCATTCTCATTCCTAATTACAGATAGGGAAAATGAGGCCAGAGAGGTTGAGTAACTCGCCTAAGGTCACACAGTAGGCAATAGAGCCAATATTTGATCCTTGTTCTCTGTGACGCCAATGCTCTTTCAACTCTTTTCACCTCACATGCTGGATCCTCTGATCTCTCAGCTCCTATGTGGATCAAGTTAGAAGCCAGGAAACTATCACCTGGAGTCACTACCATTTTCTTGGGAAATTCCATCCCAAGTTCTCACTTATGTCATGCCTTTAGCTTCTAATGGGATCAACACAAAAAATGGTTGTGTTGGACAAGTTTCTGTAACCTTTCTGCAAACCACTAGGCAAGGAAGTTACATAGAATCCATGAAATAAACCCCTCCTGGAATTAAGCACTAGTCTGGAACTTCAGATGAACCGATAAGTTTCTTTGATTCAGACACGGGAGGACTGACTCATCAGGTTTTCCTTTTTACCTTCCCTGCTGGGAAATTTAGAGTTTGAATCAAGTGCCCAGAGGCAGCCCCAACCTCTGGAGAAGCGCTCTAGTGGATAGAATGTGTGTGATTTGGAACCAGGGAGCCCGAACTTGAGTTTCAGCCAATGCTCTGTGAGCAAGACATACCAACTTCCCTGAACCTTAGACCCATGGTCATAAACCCAAGGCGGTTAGAAGGATTAAATGAGCTAATACACGGGAAAACTCTCTAGCCTTTATCATGTACATTAAGAGGGAACACTCAGCTAGCCAAGGCTAAGCTGCAGCTTCTCAGGCCCCAGGAATTCTACAATGTGAGAATGAAGTAGTCAGGGAAGGCTTCAAGGAGGAGGCATCCTGAAAGACAGGTGGAATCCTCTGGTGTAGAGCATTTAACAGTATTATCCAGGTCCCCTGCAGTGTTAATCCCTGAGGTCACTTCCAGTTTCCAACTCAGCCTGCCCTTCCCCCATCTTTCCACCCTTTTTGTTACTATCTCATCCATCACTAATCCCACTGTCTAGCGGCTTGCTGTCTCCAGGGAGTGAAGTACAGCCCACGGGTGGAGAGAGCAGCTCTGGGACGGCTCACAGGTCTCCAGAGATGGCAGGGTTTCAAAATGAGGAAGAGTGTAGCCTTGGCAGGAGCGCCAGCCCAGGGCAGGAGGCTGAAATCTAGGCTTCATCTCTTCCCCATTAACTAGCAACCTCTGACCCTCTGCTCCTTCATCCATACAAAAAGACTTAATCACATGGCACAAGACCACCCGCAAGAAGGTAAACTGTCTACTTACAGGCTGTTCTTGGTTAGTCCTCACAACACTGGAAGAAAGGGGGACACAGTGCATGATGTAACGTCCCAGACGTCAGGCAGCTCAGAAGCAGGGGCACTGGAACGGGACTCACATGCAAGCAGCCAGGGGAGAAGCCTGGGATGGGGGCAGGGAGGAAAAACCTTCAAGGAAATGGCTCTTCCTGGTCAGTGACAGTTGGAGGTCAAACTCGCCTGAAAGAACCAGGCACACTTGGGACTCAGCTGGGGCCTGGGGAGGGTGGGGGAGCTGCAGCAGACCGGAAAGCGGCAGCCTACTCGACTGCCAGGGGCCCGGGCATGGGATGGACAGGCGGGGACAGTCCCACGCTCCCCACTCCTCACCGCCCTGGATGCAGGCCTACCGGGGGTGCTCTCCACCTACGAGGACCTGTGGGGAGGGCAGAGAACCCTGTGGGGAGAGGTGAACCCTGGTGGGTGGGGCCATGCAGGGAGAGGACCCACACCCGGGGCCTCTGTGTGTGTTGTGAGAGGTCCCATGCCCCACTGTTGGTAGGGCGGGTAGGGGGCCATCTCTTAGGCCAGGAGCCCACTGACTCTGCACTCCCTCCCCCACCCCCAGCTGCTCCAGGCAGCCTCAGGGTAAAGTCCAAATTCCTCCTCCTGACCTGGTTTCTGCCAACCCCTAGTCCTGGCCTCCAGGCTTGTGAATTTGATCCTAGGTCCTGCCCTACTGATTCCTAGTGTCCCTGATCTCCCTTCACATGGTTAAATGTTTAAAATTGAGCCCAGTCCCTTCTCTAGTCCAGCCACCTCCCTCCCAGTTGACTTGCCACCCAGCATGGACAGCAATGCTCCTCTCCTATTCCTTCCCCGCCCCCCTTCCCTCGCCTCCTCCACCACCATATCCCTCCCCTCCGGAGGGTCCCTCTGTGACCCGCCACCCTCTGCTTTCAGGGTGGGGCTGCACCCAGCAGGAGCTCAGAACTAGGTGTAGCGGGGTTGACCTTGGATTATCCAAGCTGTCATCCACCCACTGGGAAGCTGGCTGTGTCCCTTCCTTCTTTTCCTTGCCTGACCCTTTGAACCATGGAGCAAGCTTTTTTGCTGGGGGCTCAGAGTGGGGTCAGCCCCAGGCAGTAGCCCTCTGGGCTCAGAGGGCCCTGCTGCTGGAGCATGGTAGCAGCATAGGCTGTCTATACTGTCTGTAGGTGCCCTCTGGACCCCTGGGCCATGGGCCCTGTGTGAGAGGAACCCCAGCATTAAGGGGGGATCTCCCCCAGCCACCTTCTCCAGTGCACTTTATTTAAAACCAACCAAGTGCTCCCCAGCCCATGTGGCTCAATGGTTGAGCGTCCACCCATGATGCACCAAGAGGTCGCCAGTTGGATTCCTGGTCAGGGCACATGCCCAGGTTGTGGGCCCAGTCCTCAGCGGGGGGCCAATCAATGTTCGCTGTCATCGATGTTTCTATCTCTCTCTCCTTCTCCTTTCCTCTCTCTCTAAAATCAATAAAGAGAAAAAAAGTTAAAAAAAAGAATTTAAAACCAAGTGCTGATAAAATGTGAATCACTGCAGCTGTGATTCCACATCAAACCTTAACAGTAATACAACAGACCCTTGAAAAATGTGGGGTTAGGGGTTCTGAGCCCCTGCACAGTCAGAAATTCTTGTATAACTTTTGACTCCCCAAAACTGAACTATGGATGTCCCTCAGTATCCACAGGGATTGGTTCCAGGACCCTCGCAGATACCAAGATTTGTGGATGCTCAAGGCTCTTACATAAAACAATGTAGAACAATGCATACAGTCAGCCCTCCGCATCCACATTCCCAGCTGGGGATCCAAAATACAGTTTCCCACAGTGGGTTGAATCCGTGGATGCAAATCCAGGGATACCGATGACTGGATGGCCGAATGTATATTCATTGGAAAAAATCCATGTATAAGTGGGCCTGCACAGCTCGAACCCGTGTTGTTCAAGGGTTAACTGTAATTGACCGGAGCACTGCACTCCCTGGGCTGGGCCTGGGCAGGTGTGAAAGGGGGAGAAGGAGCCCTAGCTGGTTTGGCTCAGTGGTTAGAGCGTCGGCCTGAGGTCCAGAGAGACCCGGGTTCGGTTCCCGCTAAGGGCATGTACCTCGGTTGCAGTTTGTCTCTGGCCCTGATTGGTCATGCGGGTGGCAGCCACTTGATGTGTCCCTTTCACGTCGATGTTTCTCTCTCCCTCCCACTCTATCTGAACAAAAAAGGAAAAATGTCCTAGAGTGAGGATGAAAAAACAAAAAAAAGTGGGGGGGGAGAAGGAGAGGTCAAGGGATGATCCTCAGGAATTTGAGCCTCATGTGTCTGTGTGGCAAGACAGCTGTTGGTGTGCCTGAGGGGGAGAGGAAGGATGGGGATGATCCCCTTCCCTCTGTCTAGTCCTTGGCTTGTCTCTCACATGCATCTCGGGGATTTCTCTCTGACCCTTCCTCAGGGCAGGTGGGTCTCCCTGTAAGTCTGGGCCTCCCCTGACATCCCATTCCTCCTGAAGGAGGGTACAGATGGTTCCCCCAGAAAAGGGCCAGGCCTGACTTCAGGGCTAGGGAACAGTTCCATCCCTTCTTGGTTCCTCCTATCTGCTGAGCCAGATGTTTGGGGCTTCTGCCTGGCAGCTGATGGCAAGGTCTGTCTCAGGGCTTGGGCCCATGGGCGTGCCCCCCACTGTGTGTGTGTGTGTGTGTGTGTGTGTGTGTGTGTGTGAGAGAGAGAGAGAGAGAGAGAGAGAGAGAGAGAAAGAGAGGTGGTTAGGCCAATGGCTTTGGAGTCAAACCAACTGGGTCTGGCCTCTTACTGGCTGAGTGACCTTGAGTAAGTTCCCTGATGTCTTTAAAGTCGCAGATTCTTCATCCATAACATCCAGCCTCCACGAGAGGTCATGCCGGTAGAATGAGCTATTGTACAGAAAGCCCTTAGCACAGCTCCAGGCATGTAGTAAAGTTTGGTAAACAGTAGCCATTGCCACTGTTAGGAGAAAACCCCAATCAGCACAGGGGTCTCTTGAGGGGTCCTCCATATGCTGGACCTTGAGGCCCAAAGGCCTGGCTGATGGGGAAGGGAAGAAGCAAGCCCCCTGGGTCTCCAAGCCCCTGATTCTAGTTTCCCCTCCTTTACGGGCTGCCCCAATCAGGGGACCTTGAGCTGCCCACACCCGATCCTAGCAGGAAAGTTGAGCTCTGAGGAGACCTCTATCCCTCCCGTGTGCCTCTGCTCCCTGTAGGGAACACGGACCAGACTCAGCTCAGTAACTTAGCTGTCTCTCCAAGAGCCTGGGGGAGGGCAGGGCGTCCCCAGGCCCAGGCTCCCCACACTACTACTCCCTGTTTCTTTTTTAATAGACCCTGGTGCAGCCCATCAGGACCTGGAGCCTCAGCTCTGCCCCAGCACTAGTTAATTTCAATGCCTGGCCAGTGGTGCAGAAGGGGCCCTGGGCAGGGTGGGGTAGGGAGTAGGGAGTGGTTTCTGCAGGGCCCAGGCTCCTATCTCAGGATCCAGTCTTGTCAGCTGGGAGACTTGGGAAGAGACAACACTACCCATCTTGCCTTGAAGGAAAAAAGTACTGGGTCTGCTATCTTTAGGATAATTGGAGGAAATGGGGTTTCCTAAGGCTCAACTTTGAGAAGATGAGGGAGTTAGTTCATTTATTCATTCAGGTAGGTCCACAACACTTATTTTGCACCTACTAATGTGTCAGGCAGGCATTGTGCTGGGTGTTTGGGGATACAGAAGCCTGAAAACCAGGCTGAGGGGCCTGGGAGACTCCAAGTCTGGGAGAGAGTAGACACAGGAGTTCTGGGACTATGCAGAGAAAGGCAGCAGCCCACGACCCGTGGGAACCTCCCATGCACCAAGTCACACGTCATTTTGGCCAGTAAACCCCAGATTAAGCAGGGATTCCCTCCCGTGATTTAGCAAAAAGGTAAACAGATGCCCTCAAAGCACTGTAGCAGGTGTGTCCATGAAAAATTGAGCCGGCAGCTTGGTGGTTCCTGCTGTCCCTTCTCCATCTTAGTTGGAAAGGCCTAGAGGGCAGATGCCAAGAAGGACCGCCAGTACCTGTAATATACAGGCATCGTCATCCTGCTTCGTCCGCACAGCAAACCTCCAACCTTGCATGGCCCCACCACGCGCGTCTTCTCACACCCGGGATTCTACGCTGGGCGACACTGCTTGGATCAAACGTGGCGCTTTGGGAAATCGTGTTCTTATTTCCGAATGGAAACAACTCCATTCAGAGGAAATACGATTCCCAGGGTGACAGCAGCTTCTGTGTCCTGGGGTAACAAGAAAACTTTCAAAGATGTCAGGGGCAGTGCTCCTGTCTTTCTGTCCGGCAGGACAGTCTGAGCATCAGGAAGAGGAGGACAACTGAGCACACCTGAAATAAGACAGGTGTGAAAAGCAGCAGGGAGACACAGCAGGATGTCCAGAGGGTCAAGAGTGCTCTGACCATGGACAGGCCTCCCATGAGAAGTGGTTGTCCTTGCGTCCAAGGGGACTGAAAATGAAGGCAAAAATTAGCAAGGACACAAGAGATACCTTGACATGGTGGCTTTAAGTTCTCTGTCCTCATTGCAAAGAAGCCTCAGTTTGCCTGGTAACCAGACATAATACGTTTGGAAATAATTCTATTTGAGTATGTTTTGCGAATTGTTTAAGGTATTTATTTATTTATTTATTTATTTATTTATTTATTTATTTTTATCCTCACCCGAGGACATTTTTCCACTTTTTGTTGAGATAGAGTGGGAGGGAGAGAGAGGAAGAGAGAGAGAGAGAGAAACATCGATGTGAAAGGGACACATCGAGTGGCTGCCACCCACACGACCAACCAGGGCCGGGGACAAACTGCAACCGAGGTACGTGCCCTTAGCGGGAGCCGACGCTCCAACCGCTGAGCCAAACCGGCCAGGGCTGTTTAAGGTGTTTAAAGTATTCAGAAAAATCAGCCATGATTTCATTACAGTGTGTAACTGTAGTACAGTCTTCATAGCCCAGGTGATTAAGTTCAACACTTATCAACTGTGTGACCTTGGGCAAGGTACTTCACCTCTCTGGGCTTCAGTCTCCTTAGATGCAAAGTGGGAGCCAGGTGATAAGAACAGTAACTTCCTCCTGGGGCTGTTGTGAGGACCAGTGAAGTAAGGTTCATCAAACAGGGTTCAGTGCAGAATAAGCGCACTATTGAGTGTTTCCTATTTTTATTGTCATTATTTTGGTAATTCACGTTTGAAATGTTTGGAAAAGTTTAATTTGTCAATTTCCTAAGGGTTAACTTTTACTTGGGTGAATATTAGAGACATGTTGATTGTTTAAAATGATGTCAATTAGCCCAGCCGGTGTGGCTCAGTGGTTGAGCATCGACCCGTGCACCAGGAGGTCACCAGTTGGATTCCCAGTCAGGGCACATGCCCAGATTGTGGGCCAAATCCCCAGTGGGGGGGCATGCAGGAGGCAACCAATTGATGTTCTCTTTCATCGATGTTTCTATCTCTCTTTCTCCCTCTCCCCCCTTTCACTCTCTCTAAAATCAATAAAAATATATATATATATATATTTTTTAAAAAAAGCCCTGGCCGGTATGGTTCAGCGTTTAGAGCATCGGCCTACGGTCCAGAGAGACCCGGGTTCGGTTCCTGCTAAGGGCACGTACCTTGGTTGCAGCTTGTCCCTGGCCCTGGTTGGGTTGTGCAGGAGGCAGCCACTCAATGTGTCCCTTTCACGTCGATGTTTCTCTCTCTCTCTCTTCCTCTCTTTCCCTCCCACTCTATCTGAACAAAAAATGGAAAAATGTCCTCGGGTGAGGATAAAATAATAATTATAGTAATAATAATAAAATAAAATAATATCAATTATTCAATAGATTCAGAAGGTTAATAAACTGAACATGAAACCAAGTTCAGGTAGCAGTAGAGGATTTCTCCCCATCAGTGAAGACCCCTGGACTTTGAAAATTTTAATTAATAACCTCTTCTCCCCCAGCTCCTGTAAACTTGTCTGTAGTGACACCACCCGTCCTCCAGGGGGCCCAGGCTGTTCAGTGCGACTCCCTACCTCTCTTGAGCACTGCGCCCCCACCACACCACACATAACTTCCAGTCTTCCTCCTTCAGTCTTTTCAAACCCTCTCTCCCTCTGCTTGCTCCTTTCCCATAGCTCAGATGAGCACTAACCTACCCCATTAAAATAAGCAGTGTTCCCTAAACCTTAGAGCGATTGCCCTGTTCTCCTCACAGCTCAACTCTTCAGTGAGTGGTACTCTCCTTTTTCTCACCTATCCTTCCCTCCTCTGCTCAAGACAGCCCAGCTTTCCCCCATCTCCCCTTTCCACTAATAACCTATTAGTTGCCAAATCTATTGGACACTCCCCAGGTCCTCAGCTGGATTCCTCTCTTGCATTTGACACAAGCAGCCTCTCCCTTCTTGGAAATGTCTGCTCTCAGTTCCCCTCCTATCTTTCTGATGGTTTCTTCTCTATCTTCTTGGCTGACTCATCTTTCTCCTATCGCCTCCCCGCATGTCAGTGCTCCCCTAAGTTTGTCTTTTCTGAGCTATCTTCTCCCTCTACTCTTGTAACTTGGCCCTTTTCCAAGGTGCTCTGTGTCGGCCAATGACACTTCAGTCCACCCGCTGCTCAAGCCATAAACCTGGTAGTGACTGAAAAACTTCCACCTTATCTGGCCAATCACCAAGGAGCCCTCCATTCACCTCCCTGTAACTGAGGACCTTTCTAAAGGCCAAATCAGAGCCTGTCACTTCTTGCTAATATTCGAATGCTAATATTCTAATTCCATAGCTCTAATTTTGAGTTTCATTCTTTCTCTTCATTCCCTCCACTTATATACTAAACTAGTAGTAAATAAGTATATCATGTAGTTCATGTATGATTTGCACAGGACATGGCACACAGTAGGTGCTCAATAAATGTTGAATGTGAATACTAAAAGGTAAAAGTAAGAAGATGAGGAAATATATACCATGCAGTTCCCAATGGCCAAAGCAAAGTGGAATACTAAAGAAAAGAGAGTTATGTAGAGAAAGAGCTTTAGAAATATGTATCAGAGTGTCCTTGAGACTTTTATTTAATACTAAGGCACGTGTCAGGCTGGTGTGGCTCAGTGGTTGAGCTTTGACCCCCCCAAAAAAACAAAATTAAGCCACGCATGTGTGGGTGAAACTCCACACATCTGAGAGAGTCAGGAGTGTGTTGTAAACTAAAGAATTCCCAGAGATTATGTGTCAAGGTTTTTTAAAAAATTTTTTCTTTATTGATTTTTAGAGAGAGAGGAAGGGAAAGGGAGAGAGAAATAGAAACATTGATGAAAGAGAATATCGATTGGCCACCTCCTGCACACCCCCACTGGGGATTGGGTCCATAACCTGGGCATGTGCCTTGACCAGGAATCGAACCCGCGACCTCTTGGTGTGTGGGTTGATGCTCAACCACTGAGCCACACCGGCTGGGCAGATTGGCAGTTTTTTTAAAAGTTAATGAAATGCTTATCTTAGGATTCAGTCATTCACTCTTATATATTTATTCAAGGAAAATGAAATATGAAATATATGTCCACAAAAACATTGAATGAGAATATTCATGGAAATTTTCTTTCTTTTGTTTTTTAAACTGATTTTTAGAGAGAGCGGAAGGGAGAGGAAGAGAGAGAGAAACATCGATGTGAGAGCACAACATCAATAGGCTGCCTGCTTCCTTTTTTTTTTTTTTTTTTTTATCCTCACCCGAGGCTATTTTTTCATTTTTTGTACAGATAGGGTGGGAGGGAGAGAGAGGAAGGGAGAGAGAGAGAGAAACATCGACGTGAAGGGACACATCGAGTGGCTGCCACCCGCACGACCAACCAGGGCCGGGGACAAACTGCAACCGAGGTACGTGCCCTTAGCGGGAACCGAACCCGGGTCTCTCCGGACCGCAGGCCGACGCTCTAACCGCTGAGCCAAACCGGCCAGGGCGGGCTGCCTGCTTTATGCCCCCTACTGGGGATCAAGCCCACAACCTGGGCATGTGTCCTGACTGGGAATCGAACCTGAAACCTTTCAGTGCACAGGATGGGTCCCAACCAACTAAGCCACACTTGCCAGGGTGGAAATTATCTTTTTTTTTTTTTAATTCTCACCCGAGGACATTTCTCTATTTATCTTTAGATAGAGTGGGAGGGAGGGAGAGAGAGAAACATCGATGTGAGAGGGACACATCGACTGGTTGCCTCCTGTAGGACCACGGCCAGGGCCGGGGACAAACCGCAACTGAGGTACATGCCCTTGACTGGAATAGAACCTGCGACTCTTTGGTACATGGGCCAATGCTCTAACCACTGAGCCAAACCAGGCAGGGTGGACATTTTTTTTATAATAGCCCAAGACTGGTAGCAGCTCAAATATCTATCAACAGGACAGTTAATAAACAAATGGTGGTATACTTCTCATCAATAAAAATAAACAAATTACTTATACATGTTACAACAACAATGAATCTAAAAAATATTATGCTGAATGAGAAAAGCCACAACCAAAGAGTATTGACTGTATGATTCCATTTATACATAGTTTTTGAATAGTAAAATGAATAGATGATTCTAGAAATCAGATTAGTGCTTGCTTCTGTGGTGGTGGGGATTGGTTGGGAAGAGGCATAAGAGAACTTCATGGGGGTGGTGGAAAGGTCTTACTTCATGAATGTATATATCTATTAAATTATTGAATGGTGTGCTTCAAATTTTAAAAATTGCTGTGTGTAAATTATACCTCAAGAAAGAAGAACCCCATTGAGGTACCACCACATACCCACCTGATGGCTAAAATTAAAAAGAATAAAAATACTGAATGTTATCGAGTATATGAAGCAACTGGACCTCTTGTATATTGACAGTGGGGACGTAAAATGGCACAGCCCTGGCTGGTTAGGCTCAGCGCTTAGAGCATCGGCCTGCAGTCCAGAGAGACCCAAGTTCCGTTCCCACTAAGGGCACTTGCTTCAGTTGCAGTTTGTCCCTGGCCCTGGTTGGGTTCTGCGGGAGGCAGCCACTCAATGTGTCCCTTTCACATTGATATTTCTCTCTCTCTCTCTCTCTCTCTCTCTTCTTCTCTCTCCCTCCCACTCTATCTGAACAAAAAATGGTAAAATGTCCTCAGGTGAGGATTAAAAAAAAACTAAAATGGCACAACCACTTTGGAAGTTTGGATTTCTTATCAAATTAAGCACATACTTCTTATATTCCACTTCTATATATATATATATATATATATATTTTTTTTTATCCTCACCCGAGGACATTTTTCCATATTTTGTTCAGATAGAGTGGGAGGTAGAGAGAGAGAGAAACATCGACGTGAAGGGACACATTGAGTGGCTGCCACCCGCACGACCAGCCAGGGCCGGGGACAAACTGCAACCAAGGTACGTGCCCTTAGCGGGAACCGAACCCGGGTCTCTCCGGACCGCAGGCCGACGCTCTAACCGCTGAGCCAAACCGGCCAGGGCTCCACTTCTATATATTGACAGCTATTCTACTTCTAGGTATTCACCCACAAGAAATAAAAATACTTGATCACACAAAAATGTATGCATTACCATTTATAGCAGCTGTAGCCATAATAGTAAAAAGAATGGAAAAAACTATAATGTTGCCCTGGCCGGTTTGGCTCAGCAGTTAGAGCGTCGATCTCGACCTGCGGTCCAGAGAGACCCGGGTTCGGTTCCCGCTAAGGGCAAGTACCTCGGTTGCAGTTTGTCCCGGCCCTGGTTGGGTCGTGCGGATGGCAGCCACTCCATGTGTACCTTTCACGTTGATGTTTCTCTCTCTCTCTCTCTTCCTCTCTTTCCCTCCCACTCTATCTGAACAAAAAATGAAAAAATGTCCTTGGGTGAGGATTAAATAAATAAATAAATAAATAAACTATAATGTATATCAACAAATGACTGGACAAATAAAATTTGGTACATCCATGCAATGGAATATTATACAGAAATAATAAATAATAAATTAACAATACTTGTAGCAATAGGAATAAATTGCTAAGATGTTATGCTGAGTGAAAGAAGACAGACACAAAATAGTATAACCTATATGATTCCATTTAGATGAAATTCTTCTTTTTTTATCCTCACCCGAGGACATTTTTCCACTTTTTGTTCAGGTAGAGTGGGAGGGAGAGAGAGGAACAGAGAGAGAAATATCGACGTGAAAGGGACACATCGAGTGGCTGCCACCCGCATGACCAACCAGGGCCAGGGACAAACTGCAACCGAGGTTTGTGCCCTTAGCAGGAACCAAACCCAGGTCTCTGGACCACACGTCGACGCTCTAACCACTGAACAACCGGCCAGGGTTAGATGAAATTCTCAAAAGGACTAGTAAGTGACAGAAAGTGGATATATGGCTGCCTCGGGTCAGAAATGGGGCTGGGGATCAATTGGGAAGAGGCGCAAAGGAACTTTTGTGGTGATGGAAATATTCCCTATTTTGATTGTGGGTGGATACATGTGTCAATACTCACTGACCTGTACAATTAACGTGGATGTATGTATTGTATGTAAATTGTACTTTAATAATGTTGATTTTTTGCCCTCGCTGGTTTGGCTCAGCAGTTAGAGCGTTGGCCTGCGGTTCAGAGAGACCTAGGTTCGGTTCCTGCTAAGGGCACGTACCTTGGTTGTGCTTTGTCCCCAGCCCTGGTTGGATCATGTGGGTGGCAGCCACTCGATGTGTACCTTTCACGTCGATGTTTCTCTCTCTCTCTCTTACACTCTATCTGAACAAAAAATGAAAAAATGTCCTCAGGTGAGGATTAAAAAAAATAAAAATAACGTTGATTTTTCAAAGTGGAGGAACCATTGGACAAAATAAAAATAAAAACATAGAAATAAAAATAAATAAATGGAATATCTGAATCATCTATAACCATAAAAGAAATTGAATCAGAAGTAAAGATATTCCTACAAAGCAAGTTCCATGACCAGATAGCTTCATCATTAAATTTAATCACATATTAAAGGAACAAACACTTCCAAACATTCACACATTATCCCAGGGTATAGAAAAAGGGGGGTACTCCTTAACTCATTTAACAACATAATCTTAATACCAAAACTTGGCATGGATAGTACAGGAAAGGAAAATAACAGGTCAATCTCATTCATGAACATAAAATTTAAAACCCTAAGTAAGCCCTGGCCGGTTTGGCTCAGCAGTTAAAATATCGGCCTGTGGTCCAGAGAGATCCCGGTTCAGTTCCCGCTAAGGGCACGTACCTCGGTTGCGGTTTGTCCTGGGCCTGGTTGGGGTTGTGTGGGAGGTAGCCACTCCATGTGTCCCTTTCACATCGATGTTTCTCTCTTAATCTCTCTCCCTCCCACTCTATCTGAACATAAAATAGAAAAATGTCCTCGAGAGAGGATAAAAAAAAAAGAATAAAATC